CAGCTCAAGTGGTAGAGCAGCGGGGTATTTAGCCGACGGTCGTGGGTTCGAATCTCGCTCGCGACACTAACTTTTTCATTTCAACTAAAACCTTACATAAAAAGATAAAATAATTGAAAGACGTAATTTGGTCAGTCAGACCACTAAATATAGTGGATATAATTTTATAGGTTTTCTAAATTTGAAGATAAAGTTGACGACAACATTTCTGAGATTTTGCATAGGCTTTATTGGAAAAAATGTATGATTATATGTACAATTTTTTCAATTCTCGAGAAGATTGTAGTCGTGGCAAACTGGGCATACTATTACTTCGTATACTATCCATACAATGTCACTTTTCCATGAAACCACACGAAGAGAAACTCATAGATTGAAAACGAAATTAAACCATATAAACCTCTTTTTATTACACTATTCTTTAATGGTTGTAATAAAAGACGTTTTTTAGGCGGTCGCAGCACTAACATGCAACGCACCTGGATAACACCAATGCTGGATCTCAGAATGAGGGGTTAAGGGGCAATGAGTTCTTCCTCGCGACATGGCGGGTTCTCGGTATGGGAATGTGTAGAAAGGAAGGTTAGAATGGATCGAGATGGAGTAAAACCTTTAGAATTGAGAACAATTCATAGACAAAACAATTATTGGACTAATTGTGTAGCTTATTGAGGTTAGTAACTCATTAGGAGCTTTGACGTCTGAGCACTTTTTATTGGAAGGATTGGATGCCCTGGCAAAACCCACATTCCACTCCGTACGTCCGAAGTGTCGTACTTAAGTCTTGTATAAGGATAGTTTAGTGTTCACAGTCAAAAAGTCAGTCCTAGAAGTCTTCGTAGTTGTCAAAGTCTTTTGTTAAGTCGTTGTCTCTTGTATGGGGATTCCAGATCAGTCTGCTGTCTAGGAAACAGACCTAAATATTTGACTTAGGAAATCGGTCTCTGTTCTTGATACAAGGCTTTTTTCAATGTGAGCAATACACTGAGCACTCGGTGTGTATAATTAGGGGTCAAGGAGGTCCCGAGTCCACCGTCGGTTGAAACGGCGTGGTGGTTGTCAAGATGGGAATGAGTAGAGAGGGCTCGAGCAGTATAGTTGGGATGGTTCGAAAGGTTGGTGTAGAAGGTTTGGAATCTGGACCGGATTAGTTCGTTGACAAAAGGAATGTTGAGGTCTTTGAGGATAGTGATGTTTCAATAAGGTTCTTTGACAATTTGTCTAAGGACTTTCGATTGGAAATACTGGAAGGCTTGGCGGTACCCCACAGTTCCACTCCGTATGTCAAAGTCGATTTCGGTCTTAGAAGTCTTCGTAGTAGACCAAGTCTTGTATTAAGTTGCTGTTTTTTAAGTCTTGTTTGCGGATTCCACGTCACTCTGCTGTAGAGATTCCCAGGTATTTGACATGAGTGGAAACTGGTATCTCTTCGTTGTTGATGTACAATGGAGGAAAAGGCTGCTTTTTCAGCGTAAAAGTACAATGAGTGCATTTCTCTCCATTCAGTATTGTCTTCCACTTTTTGACCTGTCTTCGATAGGCTCAAGATGTTCCTGGATATTGGATTCGAGTTGTTACAGTATCGTCCGAGTAGGTAAACATATCTATTTCCTAAATAAAGCAGTTCAGAACTAATTGCGACCTACGTTTTTGTACTTTGGTACACGGTATTTTGAATTTTTGACCCTTTTAACTTAGTATTAATTCCATTTATGCGACTAATAAAGTTTTTGCAATTGCCATCCTCAAATGAGACATCTTGACGAGAAACTTGCTGATAGTTTGCTTTGATTTGAGGGTCAAATGTCAATCATTTCGACCCAAGTTCGTCCTGTATCCGAGCGTAGATATGTCAAATGGGTTTCGACAATTATAAATTCAAGACGTTTTTTCTGTCATATTTTGACGCAATCATCAGACAATCATCGCAATCACAGAGTTAGACGTATATGATCAAAATACTAAATCTGCTTTAGCTAAAGTTGAAAATATTTACAGACCTGGCATGTGACAAATCAGCAAATAAATATGTATTGTTTAATGTCGACCAAATGTATAGATTATAAAATATTAGCGTATAAACTAGGGTTTGAGTATTTGAGTACTTCTGATTTTTTGAGGAAAAAAGGCTATTTAATTTTACAAGTACTGTTAGACATATCGTGTTGTATTTCTTTCGAATGTGTAATGAGATGAATGTATTTATTAGTGTGTTACACAGATTAGATTAATTATATAATAGGTGTGAAGGGTGATGAAGAAATATCGAGCACTTCACCACCGTACTTGAGTGATTGTTAGTGTGTCCAAGTTTTAAAAACTGCACGAGGTCTGAAATGACTTTGTTGACAGCCCCTTCAGCCCTAACTTCAGCGGCGGGACATATAAGTCCCGGGTCTGACCCCAGACTGCCAAAACACCGAAGTTGGTGATTCTCGTAAGTCATAAGTTCATTCATGTGGGTATATTTGTACATAAATGTGCAGAGTTGAGCTTACATAAGTCAATCAATAAACCGCACAAGGTGTTATTGATTTTTGATAAATCCTGACTTTTTGATAGCGACGGAAAATAAAATTTATGTTCAAACGCGCATTAATGAATGAAATTGAACAATGAACTCGCTCATAAAGCATGCAAAGTAATTAAAACAAAAACACGGTTTCGGTTTAAAATCAAAGAACAATTTGAACATGATGATACAAATTAAATTTATCGCAACAAAACCCAATTAATAAAATTCCACAATGAAATTCCACACTAAAAGCAATTATTATGAATTCAATAAAAGAAAACGGCCGGAAGTTCAAACCGACGCGAAGCCAACGGGCAAAAATATTAATTCAAAACACGAATTTACCGACAATTTCATGCATGTTGGGTTTTTTCAATAATTAACAATATATCAAATTAAAATTAATTCATAAAACATGTCAAAAATAATTGACATTGTTCTATACAGACTATGGAATAAACGGCCGTTTTTGAACCACAATAAACATAACTAAATCATCTCCTTTCTAAAGACTAAAAGTCATAAAAATAATTTCATCAAGTGTGAAATAAAAATTCTATTTGATTTAAACTATGATATATAATTTAAAGTATGATAGTTAACTTACTTGGAAATCAACCCTCAGATATTTTCCCAGAATCACCCTCTCAGTAAAATATTTCCTCTGAGTTCACCCTTTAAGTTAGCTATTGTGCAATAATCCATAAAACAAGAAACAAATCCCAGTGCTTTTACCATGTATGAATATTTTAATGGCAGTACCTTACTGTATATCACTATTTAGATATTACCACGGTTATTCGAAACCGTTTTCAATTCCCGTGCTTAATAGTAAACAATGGATGATAATCAATTTCTAAAACAGTTCTAATAAATTACAGAAGCTATGTGAAAAGCTGATATGATCGAAAGATTGTTTAAGTTTTTAATTTTAAAAGTGTTTTATATATATTTTTAATAGTAGTTAAATTGATCGGCCGGTAAAAAAATATATAACAGAACTGTAGAAGAGGACGTTTAAAAAATAACTGGCCAGACTTTATGTAAAAAGATCGATGATCATAAAACAGAAAAAGGGTAAAGCTATGAACAAGAAAGCGAGTGATTGATTGACTGTCGTAATATTCCATTTAACTTTTCAACACTTTTATGTATGGGATTTTGTCGAATGTGAGATTATTCACTTTTGAGCAATATTAGGCAAGGCTATTGTTTGAGATATCTCCTTGATATCTGCAGGGTTGAGAAAATGCCCTATTTTTATTATATTTTATGTGTGGTGTTTAGTGGCCGTTAATAATTATTTGGAAATGGTGAGATGCGGTCTGGTATGACGTAGGTTTTAGAAAAGCGTTTTCTTTATCAGACCAACGTTTCGAACTTTATTGAGATCATCTTCAGTGCGTGGGATTTATAAACATTGTTTAAATTATACAAATAGATGTAGGATGTGAAAAATGAATTTATGCAATGCTAGAAATTCATTTTTCACATCTTACATGTATTTGCATAATTTAAACAATACTTATAAATCCCATGCACTAAAGATGATCTCAATAAAGATCGAAACGTTGGTACGATAAAAAAATATTTTTCTAAGCCTACGTCACACCTGATCGCATCTCACGATCTCCAAATAATCATTATATTTCATCTTGTTATATTTGTAAGGATAATCGTATTTTACTAAAATTATTATATTCATTTTATTGTAGTTCTACGTTTGTACAGAGTTAGTATGAAAAGAAAAAAAACAGGAAAGTTTTCTTTACGAGTACTGTGTCGTAAAAATTTCATTTTTTGTTTTTTAAATAAAAAAATTGGTTTTTGTTTCCTAAGTTACAATTTGGGGTTTCTATTGTTATTTTAGTACCAGTTGAATTTAAATTTGTATAAAACCAGGTATCTGTAGAAATAAATTAGATTTTCTGTTGGTGATCATAAAACGGACAGAAAAACTAGATCAACGGTCAAAAAACCCAGTGAGTTTTATGATTGATTGCCGTCATTTTCGATTTAATGATTTACCCCTTTCAATAACGTAATAGATTCTGCAGTACGGTTTGAACAATGGTATTCCTTGAAGTTTGGGGGTTGTGAACCTGCAAGTTGGTAATTTCCGATCCTACTGGTCCGTCTAGCTTCGCTGGTTTGTTCTGTCAGAGGCAATAACAGAAGAATCACTAACAATGGACATTTGACAGAAAAAAAATAGTGATGATAGGCATACCAGCATGACCAAATCACTAGGCTATTTTCATTATAACTTTTCCAATAATTATTTTAATTTTTGTATCCTTATTTTTTTCAAAGTTCAACCTTCTTTTGCTTAAATTCTTTGTCTTAAGTTGTATTGTTTTTAATTAAATATAGATATTTTTTAAATGGACTGAAAATTTTCTCAACAGGCATAGTGACGTTTTAATTTTTTTTTTTCATCTCGAACTTTTAGAAAATTCCATTTAGTGTCTAATGTCACTCTTACCATGAGCTTGAACGGTTGATATCGCAATGAGGAATACGAAAGAGAAGATCATTATTTTGGCCTGAGGTTCATGAGTACACGAGCCGTTCGGAAGCCAGTGGCACACTGCCCGTTGGGGATAGGACCTCCCTCCGGCTCCCCACCAGGACCGACTCCCTCTTAATTACTTCATCTCCCAAGGGAGGCGGCTGATGAGGGGTGTAAACGTGCAACACCGGTCCCACATCGCGATTTATTTCCAAAATTAATTTTTCGATAGGCGACGAAATATTTTTTTTTTGAGAGGTGTGCCAGAAAACCCACAACGTCGAGATTTTTGTTTTAAAAAAATCGGTCATACATGAATATTTTGAAATAAAAATAACTAGAAATATTTGATAACAAATAATACATTGACAGGCAAAAAATTCCACCCAATCGATTTTTTTTCTCGGTAAAAGAAAATTCCGCCCTTAATTTGTCTCATTATTTTTATCAATAAATATTTGTTTACGCTCTGTTTTAAATTGGGAATAACAACTAGAGATAAACACACTTAATTCTTAATCCAAAACAAGAATAAAGGATTTTTCAATGTTTACATTTTACAGAATTTAAAATGTTTAAATTGTTTAGTTTTCATCTTAAATTCAGTTATTATTTGGTGATCGTGAAGTGCGGTGTGGTGTGAGGTAGGTTGTAGAAAAACATTTACTTTATCGTATCAACGTTTCGATCTTTATCGAGATCATCTTCAGGGCCTGGGATTTATAAACATTGTGTAAATTATGCAAATACATGTAGGATGTGAAAAAATGAATTTATACAATTTTAATCAAATTCAATAAATTTTAGGCTCGATCAAAGTATTTGTTTGACTACTTTGTTATACTCACTTTGATTGAGTATAAAATTTCTATCATTGTATAAATTCATTTTTTCACATCCTGCATGTATTAGTAAAATTTAAACAATGTTTATAAATCCCAGGCCCTGAAGATGATCTCAGTAAAGATCGAAACGTTGGCACGATAAAGAAAATGTTTTTCTAAAACCTACGTCACACCAGACCGCACCTCATGATTTCCCAATAATCATTTACTAACGGTCAATAAACACCACACATTAATTTCAATTGTTAAACTTAAAAATGCCACTTAGGGCTGATGATGTTGCGCATGGTATGGTACTTGATGATGGACGTTCCATCAGGTATTCGGCGGCTATTGCCATCGGCTATAACCATCGGGTTCCCTACGAAACTCTGCGAGAGGTCGTGAGACGTTTCAGGCAACTGGGTCCTACCATGGAAGGCCTTAGGATAACAGAACTACAGGATGACCTGTTTTTACTTTGAGAATTTTGCGAAACCGGTACTTTACTGTTGTTCAAGCGATTCATCAGCTCCAGTAAGTTCGAGGTATCCTGCGCGCACTACTCTAAGAAGATTAAATCAGTATGGACTGATGGCTTTTCGCCCCGTAAGAGGACCAGAATTGACCATAAAACACAGAATTGCACAGCATTTTCTCGAGAACACAACCCTTGATCTTTGGACGATTGGTCTGCTTTACTTTCTGCAGATGAGTGTAGATTTGCTCTACTATCTCCAGATGGGCGTGAAAGAGTGTGCAGAAAACAAAATGAAAGGTACGAAGCTTGTAATTTTTCCCAGAGCGAATTTTTCCAATTTAGTTCAGTGATGGTGTGGGCGGGAATTTCAACGGAGAGTCGCGCAGAGTTGGTTGTTCGTGGATGGTCTTTGACGGCCACTCGCTACGTGGATGAAATTTTGGAACACCATGCGTTCCCTATCCTCGATGAAATTAGCGATCCTATTCTAATGCACGATAATGCCCGTCCACATATCGCTCGATAGTACAAACCTTCAACAGCATAACATCAGGGTCTTAGCCTGGCCAGCCCGTTCTTCACTTCTTGATACATTCCACGATATCGAAAGGACTCTTCGTGAAGAATGGGCTAACCTCCAGCAAAAAGACATTTACAAACTTGTAGAAAGTATGCCCAGGCCTCTTCAAGTTGTAGTAGAAAACTTCAAGGCAATAGAAGGAAATACGCGATATTGAAATGTGAATTAAAAATCTAAAACAAATTGTATCTATCCATCTTTTTCCTTAGCAATTTTTCTTTTTTTAGGCAAAGACTCAATTATTGAACGTTAAAATACGTGTAACTCTGATTAATATATAAAAATATATGCAAATCAAGTCAATCAGCGTGTAAAATTTATACATTTTATTAATTATGTTTTATGAATTTCAGCATTAGTTTCTTCTGATCGTAAGTCTAAAAGAAAACTTTTTCAAGACAGACTATTTCAAATTGAAAATTTGCCAAAAATCACTCAGAGCAAAGTTGTAAATGGTTTCAATTTATTGATGCTGAAGCCAACTTTTATTTACGTCAATTTTTGGGTGTTGTCAATGTTTGGGGTCAATTGGGTGTTAAGGTAACCAACTTCCTCGTTTCTCTACCTTTCTCTACCCCGTTGCCAGCTTTTTTCTTGCGTACGCGCTTCGTCAGTCAAGGATGAAAATATCATAAACAATTAAACTTTATATAAAAATATGTACATTTAAAAACATGTTAGTCTGGTGAACAGACCAAGAATTTTCAAAATTATTAGGAGTTATTGGGGGAAAAGATCCTCTACTCATGCTATTAAATTACATTCATACACCATTCTTCAACACACACTGCGCGAAATATTCGATATTCCTCGGAGTAATTGGGAAAGAAGCGACTTCATTCGCGCTAATAAATTACATTCAAACTGCCCCAGGAGTACTCGAAATTATTTGGAGGAGTTGAGGAAAAAAGCCCCTCCATTCACGCTAATAAATTTCATTCAAACTGCCCCAGGAGTACTCGAAATTCCTTGTTGGAGTTGAGGAAGAAGCCCCTCCATTCACGCTAATAAATTACATTTCCACATCAAACTGAATTCAAACAGTCTCAGAATATTCAATATTCCTTGGGGTAATTGGGAAAAAAAGCCCCTCCATTTACGCCAATAATTACATTCGCACTATCTCGAAGTATTCGAGATTCCTTGAGGTAATCGAGGAAAGAAGCCCCTCACGCTGAAGAAACATTCGTACACCAGACTTCACTCACACTGCCCCAAAGTATTCAATATTCTTCACAGTAATTAGAGAAAAAAGACTCTATTTTTACGCTAATAAATTTCATCCGTAAACCAGACTTCAATTCAGATTCAATCGGCGTAGTTGGGATTCACTCTATAATAACGTTCACCTATCAGACTACGTTCTCAAGTGTTATAAATTGTTCGGGGTAATTGGGGAAGAAACTCCTCTATTCACGCTAATAAATTACATTCACATATAACAGTCTTCATTATCATTGCCCCAGAGTACACAATATTTCTCAAGCTGCGACGGGTTTTGCCCTTCCATTCTCGCTAATAAATACATTCGAATATAACATATAGACATGAACTTTGTTAATAAGCCACCAGCTAATTATATGAACACATATTTATTTTTTGCATGTAACATTTGGTGAGAAATTATTTAATGAGATGCGTAGGGTAGAAAAACAAAAAAAATGGTTACCTTAACACCAAATTCGTAATTGACGTGAACTATTGTTTGAGATATTTGCCATTGAACAACTTTGTCATTGGGTTTGTCTATCTTCGCTGGTTTCTGTCAACCCGAAGTCCTCAAAAAGAATTTAACAAGTTTATTTAATTTTATTTTCTGCTTCAGATTCTTCGCGGGATCGAGGTTGCTACATTAAATTTTTACGCTATTTCACTAACTAAATTGAACTGGAAAGTAATTAATTCAGAGCTTAAAAGGAAAAGGCTAAGTTTAGGGGGGGCAGAAAAAGCAATGGGATTTAACTATGGTACAATTTATACAAAAATTACGGCAAGCGTAATATATTTCTAATTGCGGAAAAAGTTTAGGAATGGTTACCTAACCTCGCTTAGGTTGTGGTAGAATTGGGGTTTTGGTTTGGTTGGGGTCAGAGACGGGATAAGTTAGGTTGAGATACTGTTATGTTTAAGGTTAGGTCAGAGTTACGGATGAGTTAGGTCATGTTGGGGTTGAAATTAACGTTGGATTAGGGTCATGGATAAGGTTAGAGACGGTTTAGGTCAGGAAAGAACCTCGCCAAAAGTTGGGTTGGAGTTTTTCTTACACCTAATCTTTGATTTTGCAGGAATGCACACAGGATTAGCAGGTGTTTTGAAATTAATTACGGTTTACGGACAAAATTAAATAGAAATATATAGTTGTTAATTTATTGGTAAAATATGTAGTTAAAAAATAGTTACCTCTATTATACTGCAAGAGTTTAATTAATTTGGACATTTAAATATACACATACTTGTTCATTTTTATTTCCACCATTAAGTTACTTGGTTAAAAATTAATAAAAAATAGGTTAAAGTCTCTTGAATTGATATAATTAATAAAGCCACTTTGAAAATAACTTAAACCCGTTTTAAATAAAATTGGCCGAGTTCTCCTGATGTATCTTTCATATTATTTTATTTTATTTTTATAACCTATATTATTTTATATCAAATACTTTTGATTAGAATTTTTTCTTTGAAATTGGATGATTACAAATACTTTCGATTGAAATTTTTGAAATTTAAATGTTTCCAGTGACCATTAAGCACCTGTAGGATTAAGTTTAGGGTCTTTTAAGAGCCACAAAACAACTTAGACAAAAAACATAAAACAAATATTATTTTTATATATTTCTTTGTAGGCATTTTTAAACGCAACCACTACGTACAATAACTTAACTTGACTTCATAAAAATAAACAGACTCAACACTGAAGATGGCAAAATGCCGAAGTGTATCTGATAGATCAACACAGTGAGGATTGGCAGATTAGGATGACGGGTAACGCCCTGTATACTGGACAACGTTAAATTGAAGATTATCTTTCCCGACGATTTTTAATTTTTGAACGAAAATCTGCGGTGATTTATTGAATCTATTGAAATTTATTTGTTCTCTTTTTAAATAAAACAGTTTGATTGAGATTTATTTTACTTTACAATAGTCCATAAAGTGTATCTTTTCCTTTTAACTGTAAATTTTCAATATTTAATATCACAAAATACGCCTGTATTAAGGGAGAACTAATTAGAAATAAATAAACGATCAATTATGGATCAAAAAAGTATATGCAAGTATAAAATGAAGGGAGATTCATCCGTTATTTGAAAATAATAAGTCTCTTCAGATGGCCTTTTCTTGTCCAGATTGTAAAATACTACAGGCTGAAATGTAATGTGTTCTTCAATACCGACCAGTCATAATTTTTGAAAAATGGTAATATCGGTTGGCCTGGAGTGAATCACGTGATCACACTGGATCCAAATTGCACTCCTTCGTCGAGAAACAAATACCCTATGTTGCATAGAACGTGTTAAAAAGGAACGTCTTTTAGCATTCACGGCAATTCACCGTGTTATTTCTCAGGATGAAATCGTAATTTATAAATGTGAGCGACGGCGAATAAAAATTAGCCGGTTTCTGGCTTACATTAAGTACGAATAAGCAAGATACGGTTAAGTCTTACTTAGTTAAGCTGAAGAAGTTCACTTTTAAAAAAATACTGACACCGACAAAGCAAAACGTTTTAACCAAAAGCAATCGTAATTTCGTTTGAAAAATAAACTAAAAATTTGTTTAATAACTAGTTTATGGAATGGAATATTAACATTTATTTGGCCGTAATTGAAAGGGAAGTAAATCAGCTAACATTGATGTATATGTAAAATAGAAGCGGACCTAAGCTGGACCTCTGTGGAACTCCAGAATTAATAAAGCCTATGTCAGAGCCATTAGAGTTGAAACTGACAACTTGTGAGCGACTTTTCAGATATGAAATGAAAACTTTACAACTGTTAGAGCTGAAATTAATTTTTTGGGGAAGCTTGGTAAAAAGAAAGAAAGAAAGAGAGGGAGGGAGAATGAGAGAGAGAGAGAGAGAGAGAGAGAGAGAGAGAGAGAGAGAGAGAGAGTTGATACAATATTTTCAAAACAATATAAAACGTTTTTTTAATCTAAAATTTTGGATGCTACATGAAGAATGCTAATAGGGCAAAGGTCAGATATTTTGGGTTAACCTTTTGGGTAATCATGGCACATTTCCATTATAGAAAATCAAAAGGTTAGGGAAAAATTAATAAAACGTGAAATTTATTTTGAAATGGTTTAAACCCAAGGAATATTGAGTATCGGGGCTAGTGAATGTACCCAGACTTATGTTGGGAAGTGAAGGGATACCAGCATCATTGGAAGGAAATCCAGTACTACAATGCCAGAGATGACAGATATATGTTTTTTGGACTATAACTAATTATACTGTTTTGAAACTAAGGAGTTTTGACATAAATTAATAGAAAAATCAACAAAATCTTGATAAAGAAAAATAATAATATTATATATCTTGATATAGAAATAATGAAGACTTGACAAGTGATAAAGAAAGAAAGAAAAGGAAAGACTAGTTTTTCTTCAAGCTTTTAACAATTTTGTTTTTCAGGCCTTTGAAACTATTATTAACCATTTTAAATGTTAAACTAGTAAATTATAAGACCGTCTACTTCTTGTTGTGAGTGAAATATTTCATCCTATCTTATAGAATCTGTGCAAAATGCCTCCTCACAATAGGCAAATCCTCCTTACAATCTTCTAACTTACTTCTCTTCTAATTTTCTAGTTTCTTAAAGATCTCTTACATAGATTCATCAGCTAAGTTTATATAATTAATAATGTCAACAGTGATGTCTAAAATTTTGTAATTGTCTTGTAATTTTTGCTGTTAAATTGACTTGGACGAAGGTGAAACGAATGGTTGGCCAATAATGTGAAAAAATATATTGTTATATCTTGCAAGTTTACATTTATATTCTTCTACAAGAACAAGAACAACATTTCAATAATCTGACCTGAATGTTACTCAACCAATAGACTTAACACAATGAAACAAATTCCTGACTCGTTCTCTTATCGATGAAAAAAGTGAGTTTTGTTTCACATTAAGTTGAAAGAATCAAAACCTTTGGAACCAACGAGCTTGATACTTAATTTACTCATTTTTTCCATAGCTCAACACAAAATTATGTTCTTAAAAATCTGTAGGCTAAGTTGTATTAGATAGTGTCAACAATGCTGAGCTATCCCAAGGGTTAGTGCTGAGTCTAGTCTTGTTTATTATAGTTACAAAAGACCTTTGTAAACTGAAGTCAAAATCGGAGCTGTTCTATGAACCAACAAGGGTGTCTTATAGGATCAATACCTTCAATGATTAGTTAATAATTTTTTAAATTGTAATTCAGACCAAATAACAATAAAACTGAGGTGAGAACCAGGTACATTGACCTAAACTTGTATAATGCACTGACTAAAAAGTCACATTACTTAAACATAAACAACATACCAGGCCGACTAAACCAGAAAGGATTGACCAAATACATTTCTTGAACAATTACTCATTAAATATGACATGCAAGGTAATAAAATAAGAGTATATGAGGATTAACTGTACTAATTCCAAGCAAATGAATCAATAAACTCCACAACACAAATTTATTTTTTGAAATGCAAATAAAATAAAATTTAAATTTTTATATATTCATTGAAATGTGATTTAAATTAACTTGGTCAAAGGAATCAAACTGTTCTGAATTTTTGCATAGAATAACTAAAATGTAAGATAAATAAATAAATCCATTATAATAGGCATAATACCAGTAAACAAATATCAAATAAATTAATTTACTTTTTAAATATAAGGATTAAATAAATACTAAGAACCAAGTAAGAAATCATTATAAAAAAAATCTCCAATGAGAATTTGACAGCATCTTTTACTCAACTGAAGTCATTATGTGCTTTTAGGATAATTGGAGAAGGCAATTTCATTTTCATTACTTAGCACAAAGAGGGGGATGAAATAAGGGTGTGGTTTTTTGGGTCACACAGCCTAGTATTGCTTCATATTCGAAAGCAGACTTATTATGGTAAGGTAAAAAATATATAAATCGTACCAATTTATTTTTAATTTGAAAAATTCCAAAAGGAAAATGTATCAAAAAGAAACACAACAGAAGAACCGATGGAAACGATATTACTGATCGGAAATGAAGAATGGCTTGAAGAAACATCACTATGGAACCTGAGACTTTGGCACGTCATTTTGATATTTTTCTCTGGGTTCTTATCCATCGGTAAGTTACGTTCCAGTATTATATATATTCTAGAATCTAAGAGACTTTTGTTAGAAATGTCTGTTTCATGCTAGTAATTTGTTTATGCTGCTGCATACGTTTTCGAATACCCAGGACAAAACAGGAAATCGAGGCGGATTACATTCGAAAGAAGATCACGAGAAAATTCAAAAAAAGGCTGACCATGATTCACAATACGGAAATGGATGAAATGGACCTCAAAAAAGGTGAAATTCATATAATTCAATTGAAGCAAATTGTTTAATACCACACTTCAATAATACAATTGATTTTATCATTTTTATGTCAATATAATGTAAATGTAGGTGTAAAATCATAGGAATTGGGCATACTGCTTTAAGAGTTATTGCATCCCCGTTCTGTGCATATAGCATATCAGTAAGACCCAATGCATCAAATAATTTTGTTAGTGGTTTTAGTAGCCAATATTTCTTTTAAGGCTATAAGTCCCCTGCAGATAAATGATACACTACAGTCAGTTAATTTCTCAGATAACTTCTCAGAATCTGCACCTTGTTGGTGGATACCAATCTTTCTTTGGTTAGAATTCAGGTCTTTGTATTGATTCATTTTTTCATGGATGCATTGATTTCGGCTTGAAAGATTCTGGTGTGGGCCCTTCTATAAGCAAGCTTTGAACTCATTTGATCAATTTATTTTATTCTAAAAACATTCAGAAATTGGAGAAATCGCCCACTTTGGGTGTTGACAGTCCGGGTCATGAAGATTGGGCTCCAGGTGCTCTCAACAGCTAGGAAAATTCAACACCCAACGCATGCAGTTCCTAAATCCAAACCCATTGACATTCTTCCTAACTTTTAAACATATTGTTCTATTTTCATACCATTCACTCAATTAGGGTAGTAGAGTACTCTATATTTCTCCATCACCTTTTACATCTATTAACTAACCTAATTGAGAATCGATGGGTACTCAATATTCCACCAGAAACCCTTTTATAATACTAATTCATGCTATTAAATAAATTCACTTTCAACACACGCTAGGTTCACTCAACATACTATCAATAAAACAACCTTTTTCCTCCAAAAATCGAACAGAGGACCCAAATACCACTACTCAAGCAAAATTTTCATATCAGGTGGCATTCCAACACGCTATCTATATAGAGTGAAGGAGTTGCACCCTTATTAACGTGGGACACAACAAGGAACCTTTCTCTACAAGCCGGACACATACGAGGGCTTTGGTACAAAAATAAGTGTCTATGTGACAACCTCACATTGCCTATCCTTAAACAGGGTGAGGATGTGAGGATAACTCTTTTTCTATGAGTCAGATCCTCCGAGTGCCATTTATCTTGATATGTGAGAGCTTCTCTGCCATTATAGCCCCCCAACCCTGCCACCTTGTTTAATCATATTTTTTTTGTGAAGTTTTAGCATTACAGGGCCAAATCGTGGTGCTTAAGTCCAGAGATTGGGACATCCCTGCCTTAGCTACCTTGTCCACCTTTTCATCACTTCAGACCTATGAGTCTGGGTGTTTAATCTTAGAAATCCTATTTGTTGCCATAAGTATTTATACTTAAGAAAGCAGGTTTTAATGGAAGCATTAAAAAAAAGTTAATACTACCTAAATTTTCTCTCTATAATTTATAAAACTGTATATTTTGCATTTTCCATTGGAGCAAATAATTTATTTTTCTTTAATGTGAAGTAAACTTTTCTTAACAGTCCTCATTATCATTTAGTTGAGGTGGATTAGTCCTAATATTTTCTCCATACCAGATGTGGGGGCCTTCATCACTCCCATGCATACAAATTTCAGCATTTTTATGAGTTCTCTTTGTTTTGTTTTTGTTTGCCTTTCTTGGTCCAGGAAATTGTACTGTTTGTGAGGATCTGTCTCACCATCACTAGTCTACAACCCTAGTTTTTATCTTTTATAGGTGTGCACACCATTCTGCAGCCTCGATAGAAATATTTAAATTTTTATGATGGTTAACAAGCAATTCAAACTGTTCATTTTTCTTATAAACTAACACAACATTGTTATTTTAGTAGAATATGAAGCATAATAATGTATTCTAAGTCCTCAAAAATTCTAGCTTTGGACCGTATAAGAGCAGAATTTAAATCTGACACGGAAAGTGTGGCTCATTCAGAATACTCTGTCGGGAGTGTTGACTCAAATGGCCAACCGATTTCTAGAGCCGGTGCATCCAGAAAAGTCAGTGACATTGGTAAGTCAAAGTATTGAAACTTCTTTATGGTTTGATGTTCTTCTTATTCAAATGGCAAAAATAAAAAAAAAAAAATATTATACCCTCTGAAAGAAGAGAAAAGTTTCCTACATAGTATAAGATTTCTATTCAATACTATTAGTATTTTTTTTTTTTTACATGCAACATTATTTTGGTTTTCTTTATACTATTGAAAATAAGTGTGCGCAAAATTAAAAAATTAAAAAAATCTAATTACTGATATTTGGCGTCTAATTTCAGTCACTGGTCACTTCAATCAGTATAAACTAACATGTATTTTTCTGTTTCCCATTTCTTTACTACCTTTTCTTATATTATTATATATTTTTATTTTATCTAATCATAGTTTATTATCATATTATCTTATCTAATCTTTGTATCTTATATACTAGTGATATTTTAATATTACCCTTCTTTTTTATTAGAAAGTATTATAAAGTATTATACTTCTCACTAGCTATTGTATATTTTGGAAGAATTAGAGGAAGAGGAAAATAATGTCCTTCATCAAGCCTATGTACAGACTTATTCATTACTCCTCCACAAAATGGCCTGTGTGATACTGACCTAGACAGTGGTGACGACAACGAGGGTGGTACGATAAACAATCTCAACAACCGTCAAGTATCTGCTGAAGCTGAGGATGTCATTACTTCTAACAATGAAGAAGTTTTGAGAATAAATGAGAGCAACCAACTATCTTGTATTTATGCACATACAAGTTCAGATATTTGTGAAATTTCTGAACCCCAATCTAGACAAACAACAAAACAAAAAATGCCTCAGAAAAAAACCGGCACCAAGAAAGAAAAATGCCAGCGGAAAAAAAATGTTTGGATAAATAATGAGGACCTTCCTGATTCTTCTGTCAAATTGTTTTTATCCAAGCCACAGCCTTACTCTCCACCATTTGCAGCGTTCTTTGACACCCTTGCAAATTTGACATTTTAGAGTATGTTATACGGCAAAGTGTGATATATGCCATCCAAAAAAGAAGCCCTCATTTCCAGCTTTTATTGACGATTTAAAAGCATTTTAGGCATCATGATTATTAGTGGCTATACTACTGTACCAAGATGACAAATGTATTGGGAAGAATCACCTGATATAAACAACGTAGCAGACTCATCAGCAATGCCTAGAAACCGCTTTGAGGATATTATGCGTTATTTACATTTTGCCAATAATAGTGACCATTCCATCGATGGAGAAGACAGACTTTGGAAAATAATCCATTACTGAATCACCTAAAAGAGACATTTTATCGATATGCCATCTGAATCCAGTGTGGATGAGGCGATGATCCCTTATCATGGTATCAAACAGTGTATCAGAGGAAAACCCATACGCTTTGGATACAAATTTAGAGCCACAATCTGAAATTAGGGCATTTCATAAACTTTGATGTTTTTNCCGCCAATATATTAATTTTTTTAAATTAACATTAAAATTGGCTTGTGAACTATTTATTTTCAAGCATTAAAGTTAGAAGATGAAATAAGTGTGAAAACTGATAATGGTTAAAATTATTTTTAATTTTATTTTTCAGGGGTTGACATTGAGCAACTTATAGAGCAAAGAACAATGGGTTCAAAATTTGCAAGACTAATGGGTAGCTTCAGGAAAATTAAAGTTACAAAAAAACCACAAAACGGAGATGAAGTTGTTGAAGGAGAAACCAAATTTGCTTAGTGAAATCAGTGATTTTTAATTTTCTTAGTGAAATGAAAGTTTAAAAAGCATTAATACAAGTTTTATACGTTTTGCTTGATATTTATTTCCAAATCAGAAACAAGTGCTTATAATGTTTTTAAAAGTTTTGTGAACATGTAAGAAAACTGTGCAAACAATAATACAATGCTAAGGATGTAAACTTAATATTAATAAATGGTTTATGTTTTTGTAACAAAAGTTAGAATTTTGTAGATGTAGATGTATCATTTAGTGTCTATGTGACTACACTGCAATACAATGCACACAAATTCTACTGTGCCCTTTAAAAGCTATTGTATCCTTATATACTTATAGAACACCAAACTTAGATTGTGTTGTATGTCCCAAATCAAAAGTTGAAAATCAATGTTGTTACCAAAAGCACAAACTGTACTTATATTTCCTCACTTTTTGGGGTTTTACATAAAATTTCTTCTTGCAAGAACAGAGCTCATATCAACCCTCGTAGTATCAGAGTTTTTGAAAAAATTCCCATTTGTAAATATGTCGGGTTCGAATGCAGGGCCATTATTATTATTCATTTAATAAAAGGGTTGCATTAGTATGGGCTAATTCTTAAAAATGTATACTTTTTATTAATTTTCTTGCTGAGTTATATTTTATCTAATTTATAAAAGATATTTCTTTTGCATCATTGTATTTTTTTAAATTTGCTCTTCACATATTATCTTATCAATGTGGGTGTTCCTCAGGGTAGCTTCCTGATTCGCATACTACTTTTGTGGACCGTAAAGCGATCCTCTCAACTAACCCTGATTTCCACTTGAAACCCCAGCCATGTCGCACTATTAAAGGCTTGGTATGTACAGAAAAGAATATAAATTAACAGAGGAAAAATCAACCCAAATAACTTTTACTCTCCGCAAAACATCCCTCCTCCAGCTTACTTCAATAATTTCTTAATAAGCAGTACATAACCTACCAGTAGAGTCCTAGGGATTAGGTGCGATCCACCCCATACCACTGTTACCACTTATGTGGACGATACCACAATTTTTCCTACAACTCAAATCCCATCCTCAAGTCCTCCAACAATAATAATTGCAAAAGTACTTATACACTGCAATTCATGTCAAAAGACATGGTTGTAGAAATCCTTCAACCTGACAATGAGCTAAGGGGCTCGAAATCTGGATCATTGGAAAAATTCAATAAATTCTTCTTCCAACTGTAGACCCAGGTCTTTACACTGACAAACATGTGGGATTCAACATTATGATACAATACATAGCTCTTTCACATCTTGATAAACACTCTGACTTACTTCTCACAAATAAAAGGCTGCTTTATAGCACTTTAGTGAAGCCGATATGGACTTATAGACTGAAGATGTGGGGCTTCAATCAAACATTCACCATTGCAATATCCGCTGCATCCAAACTTCCCAATCCATAACCGAAAGAAAAATCACTGATGCTTCATTTTATGTGTCTAATGAAACTACCTATCCAGACGTAAATATGCCTTTTATTCAAGATGTAATCTATCTTATGGCAAACTGTGAAAATCACCTACTCTGGTATTTTGGCAGTCTAGGATCCACAAAGAGTTAGAATCATGAACTATCAAAATTTAGGTCATATCTGCCTTCAACGCATGCAGTTTTTAACATAACTACATTCATAGAAATGGGGAATGATGGAGTGAGTGCGGTGTTCAATCCTTTTTTAAAAAAGATAGTTTCTACTCACAGTAAGTTGTTTTCCAATGATCCGAATTTCAAGCCCCTTAGCTCATCATCAGGTTGAAGGATTTCAACAACCTGATAATGAGCTACGGGCTCGAAATCTGGATCATTGGAAAACAATTTACTGTGAGTAGGAACTATCTTTTGTAAAAAAGGATTAACCACATTCATACTATCACTCATTATTAAATACATTCTTTCCTATTAGAACATAACCATTAACTATCATAACTATTAACTCTATTTGAGAGTGAATGGGATATTTATTCACCCGTCAGCCCTCACATTGACATTACTAAATATGCTCAATCTCATAAAACATTCAACACAAAATCCATAAACAACTATAAGCAAAAATCACTCCTGTTTTTTCTAACAATAAGGCTTGAGCCCAAATCTCATCGGATGGCTTTTCTACTTGCTCTCTACATGGAGGCATAATGGAGGCATGTTGAACATATGCTGGCTTTGGACTAAAGTATGTGTTTGTCTGTCTACCGCATGTGCCTTATTCTAAGTCAAAAATGATCCCTACTGTTTGGGCAACCTATCAAAGAGGCTGTTGATGTATAAAATCGTGCACGCTGATCAGGTCCAGAGACCTTGTCATTTCCTTTTTAAAATATTTGCTATTGGACATTTGAGGCAATGAAGCAAGAATCCAACAAACATGTGTGACAGTGATAGTGTCAGCTTATCCAAGACTTCAAATAAGCTATTCTTAGGTTAGCTATATCCATCCCTTCTGAGTGCTACAAAGCTCTGACTCTAAACATGCTCTCATAAACTAATCTATCCTATTGCCATCCAAAGCTTTAATTTATCATTTTGAAATTCTTAATTTGGAAGGCAAAATGTATGCAAAAACCCCATTTTAAATTATAAAATTTATTCCTGTTCTTTAATTATAATTATTCAGAAATTGTGAGATGCGGTCTGGTGTGATGTAGATTTCAGAAAAACATTTTCTTTATCATCTAACGTTTTGATCTTTATTGTGTGTACACTGCGTGGGCACTCTCAACACGACACACAAGAATGGCACAATTACACAGAAGACAAACACTTTGAGCCCAGAAGATGATCTCAATGAAGATCGAAACGTTGGCACGATAAAGAAAATGTTTTTCTGAAACCTACATCACATCAGACTGCATCTCACGATTTCTGAATAATTATCAATTAACGGTCACTAATCACCACACATTTAATTATAATTTTGAATTTTTGTTCCAAATTTGTGGTGTTTAGTGACCATTAGCCAATGATTATTTGGAGATTGTGAGGTACGGTCTAGTGTGACGTGGTTTTAGAAAAACATTTTCTTTATCATTCCAACATTTCGATCTTTATTGAGATCATCTTCAGGGCTCAAAGTGTTTGTTTTCCATGTAGATGTGTCATTCTTGTCAATCGTGTTGAGAGTACCAGTGAGATATTGATTTTGTTCCAAAATTTAGACATTTCCCCTAGGCTTGTTTGACCAATGTTGGGACTGAGTCGGTCTTCAAGAAAATTTGAGTTTGCCTGTAAAAACTTAAATATGTCAATCTACAGACCCTACGCTCAATGAGAATGTAGCCCGGGACAGAGTAATGCAAAAAAGTTCCTCAAAGGACCATCGCAAAAACTAACAGCAGAACTACTAGATCTAGGAAGTGTTAAGACTAGAATAATAGTTGGACTGCTAACTGGACATTGCAGATTCCAGAGACATGTATATACTCAGAGTGGCAGAAACAAGCCTGTGCAGATATTGCCATGAAGAAGAAGAAACAGCAGAACACATCTTCTGATGGTGCGAAGGCCTATAAAGGCAGAGATTCCTAATCCTGGGAGAGGAAAAGCCAGGGCCTAAAGGATACACGCAAGAGCCCTTGAAAAAGCATGTGTGGAGATTAGTGACCGTCTATGATTATTCGGAAATCGTGAGATGCGGTCTGGTGTGACGTCACTTTTATAAAAACATTTTCTTTATCGTGCCAACGTTTCAATCTTTATTGAGATCATCTTCAGGGCTCAAAGAGTGCACTCTCAACACGACACAAGAATGGCACAATTACGCTGAAAACAAAGACTTTGAGTCCTGAAGATGATCTCAATAAAGGTCGAAACATTGGCACGATAAAGAAAATGTTTTTCTGAAACCTACATCACTCCAGAACGCATCTCACGATTTCGGAATAACCATGAAAAAGCTTTTAGGTCTGGTAAAAAGCCTCAAGCTTAATGAGGAGCTCTAGACCCAAAAAAATGGAGATCACGATAGACCAATACTGGTCGCAGTGCAGTGGTTGTAAAGAGGTCAGCCCTATTAATATAATCTAATAATCTATGTACTAATCTATAGACATTTGGGGTTGTTTTGCCCTGTTGATTATTTTAAAATAGGCTAAAAGATTGGAAGTAGCAACTGAATTCACTTTCTTCTTTAAACTTGATCCTGAGCGTTCGTAAGACAATTATGACGTTAATTAAATATTTTGTGATTATACTTGTGACTCTCTCATATCATACTCACATTTATTCTCTCAGAGAATATATTTTACACAAAAGCATTGAGAGAAATATAATTGAAAGACCATATTATTTCTAAAATGATAGAGTACCACTGTCGTACTTAAGAGGTACTTAGGGGCGCTTACTCATATTTACGGAGTGCCTCTAGCTCTCTACAAGTGTACGCTTGTAACTATATCTATTTTTATAGAAAAGAAATTAGTGTCACAAGAGGGACTCGAATCCATGAATTTTATGCTGATCTTTGCAAGACATGGATTCGAGTGCCTCTCGTGACACTAATTTTCATTCTCAACTGTATTTGCATAAAAATTGTAATTAAATAACGATATTATGTGGGTATTTATGTTTCTTTTTTCAATTTTTTTTTTCAAATTTAACATTCAATTTTTCTTGGTATATTTAGAGTTGGGTCAGATTAATTCTACTATTTTTGTAAAAGATTGTTGTACTTACAGATTTTTTGTTTTCAACTTCCGGATTTCAAGCTTAAATCTCGCCATCAGGAGTAACGGACACGACTTTCGACAAAAATTGCAAGCGTGAACCGTTTTATCCACGCCAACGCGACGACCAATCAGGAGCTGGTTTGCGCCGGAATAAATCGTTTTAAGAATAAAATATGTATTTGTTTAGTATTGAGTAATAATTCAAATTATTATTTTTCTTTATACATTTTTATTTCAACATGTATTAAACAATTATAAAATTAAAATACTTTTGGCCCTGCAGACGAGAGAATAAAGTAGGATTAGGACTGTTTGTCGCTTGGAGGCAGTGGCAGTGATTGTCGAATTGTGCGCGCGAACGTTTTCTTCCCCTAAGTCCCCGTCCGAACCGAAATGAACATCTACCGGCAGAAATTGATAACCTGAGCGAAGTCAACACGTATGTCACCAGAAAGTAAGAG